TAGCTTTTAGGTACCGGAAAATTATTTTCTTCCTCATGCAGATGTATATTTCGTATTTACCTAAGTATGATAAATGAGTGTTTCCCAAATGTCATTTTACATTATATATCTGAACCGTGTAATAATATCTGTCTGTGTAATAATAATTTGAGATATTTAACGTGTTACGACCGGCCCCGCGCTACAACCGTCATCGGCCTCCCGGTCATAGTGCCGCAGTGTAAGTTTTAATGTGAAAAAGATATTATAAAACGTAACTTTTTCATATAGTACGGGAAATGTTAGAAAGGTATTCGTTCATTAGGCGGATCACCGTATCGACTTGCTATAAAAACGTGTTATTGCAGCAAAAATTTGAGTGACGGGAGGTGCTCTAAATTACGCGGAATCTGTGTGCGCGGTAAAAGAACACGTGCGAATTGAACAACAATGCAAGTAATTACGTGCCGATGGCATACAATTGTTACTGTTTTAAAGCCGTTTCATGTCCAACTTTACGTTACGTCACGCGTGTTCGAGCATACACGTGCGTGTTTCAACGGTCCGTCGGCTCCTTTGATGCGCGCCTTTTTCAATCCTTTCGACCAGGTCTCAAGCCCGTGCACGATGCATCGTGCTTGACAGTTGTTAATCCGATCGAACAGGCAACGCAAAATCAATAGCAAATATTTTGCATCTACAGAGTGTCCCGCATGAACTCGTTCACTTCGAATCTCGCGCAACAATAAGTTGCCAACGAATCGAACTGGATTGGGCGATTTGAATGTTTCTTTTTTAGACGATGGAGGAACCAGTCTACTAGACAATGACTAAACTACTTTGTCACAATTTTGCTATTACTTGGAGGGACAAAAAACGAATATAAAAACTCTCGTTTTTTCACTTTTTTATCCGAGCCTGTAATGAGAATTTAAGAAGAAAATGCGTTTTGTAGATCTCGTTAAGTTATATATGCATGTTGAAAATTGTATCAAAATCGGTCAACGCAAAATCAAGTTACAAGCGTTGACAAATTTTTGATACTGCGGATTTCTCACACTTATTGGTCGATAGTGTAAAAATCGGGACCTTTCAAGCGTTCTGCTGCTGTTGGTATTGTACAATGAGCTTTCAAGCGGGTTAGGATGGATTGTGGTTCTTATTCTGTCGTTTTCCGTAAAACGTTTCACTTCTGCTTTAACAGAGAAGAGGTTGCAGGTCCTTACGAATGTCTTCGTTCTTGACGTACCGCGGCAAACTGTTCGTTGTGCGATGCATTTTCGTCTATGTCGCTTCCATTTTTGAGACCGCAGCTTTTTTCTGCTGTCCGTCATAGTTGTATTTTGCAGGTCCGTATGGGTTTTATTACAGTTTTGTACGGGATGCGGACGAAATTCTGTCACTTTATGAACAACGCTCCTTTCGTTTCTGGAAATATGTTCAGTGTTCAAATCTAATTTATTTCTCGAGTTCTTTTTTTACATCGTACGTTTCTATCTTCTTTCAGCTGAAAAATGGAAAGCTATAAAGAGTCGGTTACGATTACTGAATTGTACAACGGAGGATTAAAGAACGCCGACATTGTTACGACTATCGGATACGAAAAAAAAAGAAGATAGAGAGGGCGACAGAAAAAAGTAATTAAAATTATTAGTACCGAAGTACCGAAGGTAGAAGATCTCCCATCAATCATTCAAGCCGACGAATGAGTTCAAACTGGCTTTGCAAAATGCGTGGAATGAAATTACGATAACCGAGCGTGCAACAGTTATTAATAATTATATGTCATAATGATTAATAATCGTTAATATTGAAGCAGAAGCATCAAATATTGAACATTTAATGTAAATTTTGTTCTTCAGTTTTATGATTAATATAATATAAATAAAATCTATAGAATATTAAATTGAAATGTCCTTATTTCCAAAGCAACTAAATATGTATAAATATACAGATATATAGGGACAGAATTTTCTATTCACTCTGTACATTAACAATTTGCTTTCAATGCTTAATGTCGATTGACGACTCGTTGGTTAGTACAGTAAATTCTTCATATTTGACGCTCAGATTGTACACAAAAATTGTACACAATTTGGGAAGAGAAGATACAATTGTTTGAGCCTTGCGACTCGATTTTATAACTACCGATTGTCGAACTGTAAAAACGAGCCGCAAGACTCAATAATCATATCTCCTCTTCTCAAATTATCCATTTTTGTGCACAATCTGTGCGGCAATTAGGAAGAATTTATAGTTCATATAATTACTTCCAAGTAAGATTTGTGTCTAGATGGAATCCTAGGTATCCGACTACGACTGTTTATAGTATTTTATTTCTTTATAGTGTTATCCTTGGTGTCTTCTCTCTACGGAGTGTGAACGTCGGATGATTGGATTTGTCGTGGTTGACCTTTATTTTTCTTCTCATCAACCGTTTTTCCGGATGTTGTAGATGTGTTTGTAGGCTGTCTAGTGCTTCGTCCGGATTTTCCATGTACTTGCCGTCAGCAAATGTGTAGATCAGGCTTTCTTGCATTGTGATATGTTGGCTGTCTATGAAGTATGCAAGTCTTATGGCACAGAAATTGCGCATTTCTTTACATAGAATATGATTCCGAAATAAAAAATATAGATTTATGATAAAAAATACAAGGTGATCTTGAAATAACCTTGAAAATACCCGCGCATTAAAAAACTAGTAGTTGCATTTGACTTTCCAGTCGAAATACTGAAGGACGCGTATCACCGTTTATTTTTTAAATCACGTGTCCACGAGATTTTTTCGATCTTAACTTAAATGGAACACCATGTATATTGCGGGTCTTTATGCAAAATAGAAATTTTTGCATTAACTGTAAGCAACTCTAAATACAAATTTTATCGATTGTAGATCGTTTTGGTAAATTGACAATAAACATTATCATATCCCTAATTGCTTCGTTTTTTTTTTATATCGCATCCACCTATTTGTGTTACAAGCGCACAAAAAATTCGTGGACTAGTAATAAATGTCAGAGAAAAATGTGATTATTATAAAAACCGAAAAATATTTCTCAGGATTTCAAGGTTATCGTTATTTGTTTAAATGGAACGTATATTTTCATCCAACGATCTATAGTATCGTGTCCTTCGCAAGGCATTGAGTAGCAAAAATAATGTTAGAGTTGCACGTGAATACATTAGTCAAGGGATAACAATCGTTCGTTTATCGTCTACAATCGAGCGTTGTTGTTAAGGAACTTCGTGCCGAGTATTTGCTAAAGTGTTTGGTTTCCCTTCACCAATTCCTTTTATTTTATCTGCTACTTCGAAATTGTATCAATTTTCATTTAATTTTGACATTAGACTATTATTTTCGATTATCCTGTGACGTAATAAATATGTGCAGATCCAACGCTTGTGACATCTGGAAACATTGTTTATTTATTATGATATTTGTGCCCATAGGATGAATCATGTCTTTCTTTGGTATTTTATTCTGTCATAAGTTAACCGCGGATTTTACGCATTTATGACAAAAATTAGTAAATCAGATGCGAAATAGTAAAAACATTTAAACAATTTAGAAACATTATTGTAATATTGTCAGTACATTAAAATGACTAAGAAAAGAAATAAATGTCTATGTAGACCCTACGTTGTTCAACGAATGACGACAATTTTTATTCTGCATAAAAATTCGCAGGCTAATTATCAATAATAACAGAGATATTAAAGTTGCGTGGGACTTTCTGCACAGAATTCGTTAATGTAAATTACGTAGAAGATATGAGACCAAGGTAGCGACCAAAGAAAGTGCTGTACAGAGACAGGGGGTTGTTCATTCAGCAGATTATGCATTTAAATCGTTCTCATTAACCTTACAACCTTCGCAAAGGGTTCGCTGAGTCTACGTGTTGGGAAACTTTAGATCCGGTCTGTCTCCGTCGTCTAAAATATTTTCAAATTTTTCTTTATTGTTCGATACAGCGTTAAAATTAAAGACATGTAGCTGTAAGTTAAGATATTAGATTTATTCGCAATAAATTCGATGTTACGCATTCATTAGTGTTCGAAACAAAAGAGTATTTAGAAATGCGAAATACGTCGTTTGTTTACTGATTGTTTATTATCAGACGGAGCTGGGCAATATTTATAATATACGTAATATTTAAACAATAGATTCTTCAAAATTCAAATAAAATAGTACTTCAAGTTGGATACGAAATTTCAGAAAAATAAAGTATTTTATTTCAGTAATTCACAGCTAGAATAAATATTGTATTTTGATACTCTAAAATATGAAATAAAATTCATTTGATAACGAGAAACGAGATAACATAAGAAATCATGTTTTAAATAAATCAAATATTCCATACTGGCACAAATATTTTCAGCGTTTATCAATAAAATACTGTTTGAAATATTATCTTAAAAATTTGTCACACTACGAATAAAATATTTTATTTTCAATAACAATAAAATATCTATTTACTATGTGGCATTTAAAATACTATTTTGCCCCTATTAAACTTAAAAAATTGAATTTTGTCTATGAAACGCTGCTTGGCCAGATCATTGTACAATCAGAGTTGAGCATTAATCAACTATACATTTTGATGATTACCGAAAGTAATCATAATAATCATAATCATTAATCGCGTAATCATCGCAGGGAGTGATCTAATAATCTTGCACAACGTTTGTAATCTGCAGTCATTAATCAGAAACGTGTAATCATTTGAATGATATTGTATACCTTGTATACCTTATAATATAAGTATATACCTAAGTATAAGTATATAGTACAAGGTACAAATATGTATCTTCCAAAAGATATTCACGATATTCTTTATTGTTATCTTAAATAAAAATGATTAATTCAATCGTAATCAAAAGTATAATCATGTCGTGATCGATCATTAACTAGATTACGTTTTGCCCAACTCTGTGTACGATGACGTGTCGCGGTTAGAGATCGCAGGAAGCACAGTTTCTGGACGCATCTATCATTCTTTTCTCTCGTTTTCTATTTCCAGGTTACCTTTTATTCAAAGACTTCTGCGAAAACGTGTCGGAGGAGCCAGTCCCGCAACTTAAGTTTTACGAAGAGGTTCGTGTTAGCCCGCGCACACGCTATAGTTAAGTTTCGCTAGCGTGGTGACACGCGTCGCCATCAAACTCCATAAGGAATTTCTCATTTCTGCATTGTAGATCAAGGCGTACGAGAAGCTCGAATGCCCCGAAGAGAGGAAAAAGCTTGCCAAAGAAATCTATGACAATTACATCATGAAGGAGCTGCTATCGCACACGCATGTGAGTAACTTATATACCAAACCCCGAAACCGCGTACAAGGACTAGTAGAAAATTTAGTGACAACAATCGGTTGTTATTAAATTGCTTTTTCGATTTATATAAACTGTAATCGTTATCCTTTGCTTTTACGAAGTTCGTTGATTGGTTGCCGAAGTTTGAAAACCTAGACAGTTTTTAAAAGAATATTTTTCCTACAAACGATATATGTACAACTTAGTAATTGTTTCACGTACTTATAGCTAAAAGAATGCTTTCCAATGCTGTCCAATTAATTTTTAACAAATTATCCTCTACGAAGTGATATAAATGATATAATTGGATGAAGTAAGACCGTGAGTTCCTTTTTGTTTCCGAGGCTTTTTAAACAAATTCTGTACGGTCTACTGCAAATCATTTCTATGTAACATAATTTGGTATAGACATTCAGGAGTGCATACTTCAAATTTCATCGATCGTAATCTGTACGACGCACAATGGGACGAAGTGACGAGAAGTTGTGTCAAAATCAGAGAACTTTTCATAAAAATGAAATGAAGCGATAATTTTTCTTTACATTAAATCTAAAATGTTGCCAAATAAGTAGAAAATAGAGAAAATTTTTTTATCATTTTCTACGGTACTTTTACCGTTTAACGTTTTAACCTTGACAATTTATGTTAATCTTGAAATATTACAACAAAATTTTATCCAATACCGTGTATAATCCTCACGCGACAAGAAGGCACCTTTGCGTTTACTTTCCTCCTCTTACTAGCTGTGACAGTGGAACAGCTAGCAAGAGGGGGAATGTAAACACAAAGGTGCCTTCTTGTTGCGGAGGATTATACATGCTTAATACACTTATGCACACCAACAACTAGATAAATTAAGAAAATGACTGCACTGTAAATAACAATTTTATTTTTCAGTCAATTTGAAATGAGTATCTTTCATATTGTGTACCTGTGTTAATAATTAATGAAAATGAAGGAAAAAATTATATCATATTGTTACTCAAATGTTCATTTAACTATACTTATAGTATTTCTTTAATTTTGAGAACATTTATGAAGCGGACTTAATTCTACTTTTGGATGCCTTGCCCCACTGTGCGCCGTTGCGCTGCCTAGTGTCGTTTTTACAAAATAAAATGCTTGTTGTTCACCTCAAAGTGGTATCTTCATAACTTTTCTCCAATCCACGCTGTAGATACAGAAGTAATGTTAATAGCAGTGGCATATTAGGTTTAGAAAATTCTTTCGCGACATCAAATTGTGCGCGAGCACAAATGTTTAGTGTTTCGTAAATATCTCGATATCATCTACACAAACACTTTCACAGGACTTTTTCACGACCATCGCAAGACCAAATAAATAAAAACACGACATATGCTCTTTGACGTTGTAGAATTTCTATCGGAAATATTTATTCGTATCTCTCTCATTCATATTTCTCCAGACATTTGAATGTAGCTGTTTGAAACCGGATACATTTTATGTGAAAACGCTTCAATATCCATAACCTGGTCTATACTGCACTATTAACGCTGAGCCTTCGTGTTTTGAAGCTTCCGTAGATGCAAGGCTACCAATATATGGAACATATGCGAGCTCGCGTTTCCCGCGTCATCGTTTGATCACTTTATTGACAGCTGTGNTCAGAGAACTTTTCATAAAAATGAAATGAAGCGATAATTTTTCTTTACATTAAATCTAAAATGTTGCCAAATAAGTAGAAAATAGAGAAAATTTTTTTATCATTTTCTACGGTACTTTTACCGTTTAACGTTTTAACCTTGACAATTTATGTTAATCTTGAAATATTACAACAAAATTTTATCCAATACCGTGTATAATCCTCACGCGACAAGAAGGCACCTTTGCGTTTACTTTCCTCCTCTTACTAGCTGTGACAGTGGAACAGCTAGCAAGAGGGGGAATGTAAACACAAAGGTGCCTTCTTGTTGCGTGACGACTATACAGTGGAATGTTTTTTTCGAGTCTGTAATACATCGTTTCCCGTAGATGTTGACAGGCTGATTTCAAGTTTCGTAACAAAAATCTGCCGCTTCAAGATTTTGAAGACATTTCATGTTACATCACCTAAAACGTTGTCCATTTTTGCAATCTATTGATTTTTTACCATAACGTCCCTCGATTTAATTTCAAATTATAAAATATTAGAAATATTGCAGTGAAATAATTATAAAAAAACGTAAGAATAAGATCCTTCACAACATTGGTCCATAATTTCTGTTTCATAGAGTTCTTATGATCGTAAATTACCGCACAAACAAAAAATCTGCGAACTGTGAATTTGGATTCTAACTGTTCCACCTTCGACTGTTGCAAGCAGTTAACATAACTGAATTTTGAGAAGTCTTGTATAAGGGAACAAATGGAAGCGGCCTTCTGATGGAGTTCAATTTATAAATTTCAATGTAAACTCCTGTAAATTTCACAGCAAACTCGAATAATTATCACCGTATTTCCTAAATATCCTTTATATCATGCATTATGTATCATGCAACATCTTTGTGTAAAATCCAGAACTGGTAAATAAATTTTGCAATCGAATTTGAAATCAAAGTGACATTTATCCACCACTTTAAGAATTTAAAAAAAAAAATTAGCAGATTACCGAATTATTTCAACGAAAAAATCACGATCTCGTTAGTTTTTTTTTCAATTAAATCGATCTTTTGTCAAAATTCTGAAGCAATGGATTTTTGCGAACGAATTTGAAATCAACCTGTCGAAATCTACGGGAAATGATGTTATAAACGTGTCGTTAAACAAAATCACAATTTAGTTGGAATATTTCAATTTCGACAGAACTGTTGAAGGTTAAAAAAGATTCCTACTACATTCTCTCTGTTTTCCTCGTTCTGCGACATTTCAGCTGTAACATGAAAAGATCGTCGCTTTATTTTGTTTATATTGAAAATTCTTTGATTCTCCTTGTTGCTTTGCCCTAGTGCGCGCGTACAGCGGAAGGAACGTTGGAAAGTTCAAACGTTTTGAATCGCGAAATCGAGCGTTCGCTGAATCCGGCTACATATTTACCGAAACACGCATCTGCCGGGTTTCCATTCGTCGGAAGAAAGAGAAGCCTTGAGGGATCCTCGAACTTTTTGTCTCGCGTCACGTGAAAAAGCGCCAAAAATCGCTTCTGAACCATAGAGGAACCGTATAAAAGCTCGGACCGTTCCTCGCCTTTGCCTTCCTCATGAATGCTTGAATAAGTTCCGGAATAGGTCTTTTGGTGTCGTGCGAGGGCTTCTAATCTCTAGCCCTCGATGCGCTCGGAAGAGGAGAACTATTTCCGTGGTTTCTTTTTCTTTGCAACGAGATACTTTCCCCCGGTCGGCGCACCCCTAATTTTAGCCTCGCAATCAATCGCAGCCTGCCCTAGGATTTTTCTCTCGGTCACGTTAGGAAGCCTTCTTCTATTGCCGGCTACCTGCGGAACAATCATCGAAAGCACGGATGGATCTGCATGCCCCCGTGACCACTTATCCCACGTCCGTAACTTAGGGCATCGGTCTTGCGTCTATTCGAAACATTTCTTCATCGCTTTCAAAGATCAGAACTCCGCGAGTCGATTCACGGTTTCCCGACTGTGCGAATAATCTTGCTTCGATCCTGTCTTATATTTTACTGAAATTATTCTATGCGAAGGGAAGGAAAAATAGCCTTTAATTAGTTTAACCAGTTAGCTGATTTTTTTACGAGTTATTAGTTTAACAGTCAGGTGATTTTTTTACGAGTATGTATAGTGTTCGTTGCAGCTCAAAATGTTGCCATTACTTCGTGTGACGAGTATACTCGTCGAAAACAACCTTCTTTATTCACATATATATTTCATAAAATTTTTGTATCTAAACAAAATATGAAGAAAATCAAACGTATACAGTACAATCACAGTAACTCGTACAATTTTCAAAGAGATTGCAGCAGCTATCTGATCAAATGAACATTTTATCGTTCTGTTTCTGATGTGATTATGTGCTACGTATTTTTGCTGATACATTCCCAATAGAGATTCCTCTTTCCAATGTTCAACTGATAGGTAAATTGTGGATCTTTATGCGAAATAAACATTTTCTGAGATCGTGGGAAACAGAAATTAAATGAGAATGTATTTCTTCCGATGACGATTTCAGTAAATCGAGGAGAAACTAAGAATATTCCTGAATACTTCGAATGTCTTCGACGTTTGGTGCTTTATCTAGCTATTTTCATCGCATTTCGGTCACTTTTCTCCATTTATACCCATCAATTTGCCTTTATGTTTACGTTTGTCTTTATGTTATACGTCTTTATGTTGAGTTAATGAAAAACCCTCGGTCTGCAGTTACCGCCATTTTAACTCAGTGCACTGAAATCGTCACCTAATTACACAATTTTCGGCAATCAAATTCTATGAATTGTTGTCATGATAGAAATAACCGAACGACCAACGGATCTACAAAAAATACTTTGAACAATATTTTTTGAAAAATTGATGAATAAAGCTCGAGACAACCATAAACATTGTCAAACGCGTGATTATAGAAAAGATCCATCATTTGAGAGTTAAAACAGTGCAAAGATTAGAAGCGGATGTAACACCATCGATTTACTAAAATTATTCCGAAGAAAAAGATATCTGCAACCAAGTCTGGGCTAGGATCAAAAATTGATAAGCTCGCGATTGATTCAGAAAACGATGATTTTGCGTAAAGTTGCAGTCTCTGTCGTAAGTTGAACGATTTAAGTCATCCTTTGTGAACGTAACGCAATCAAAAACGCTTCTGAATAGCTTCGAATAACCTTACACATCAGCACTCGGCGACAGAAATTAAAATATTAGACCGTAAATAATTAAAAAAAAAAAAACACCGACTGCTACACTGTAAAAATAGATACCGCAAATTCTGTTCACTCTCGTACGTCTCTCAGGGCAAAAGTTCATCCATTTTCTTTTTTTAGACACCGCGTAAACGTTTCTTTTTGTTCGCGTTGCGAAGTGTATCTCTTTGAAATGCAACAACGTGCGCGCGAAACAAAATTTGTCGATTTAAAGAACGAAAGAAAAACGTGCAAAGCGACCCTAGGATCTTTTTGCGCAACCATTTCTGAGAGGCGTACGAGAAAGATATTCAGAGAAAGAACGTCCATTTGTTTGCGCGTAGTTCTATTTGTAGTGTTTGTTCTATTTGCACTAGTTTGTATGTTTTCATTGTCTTCCAGGAATACTCCATGGAAGCGGTGTCCACCGTTCAGGATTACCTCATAAAAAACGAAGTTCCCGTTAATTTATTTGAGGTTGGTCCTTCACGATCTGATATCGCTTAATTGTAATAACGTTAACAACTTGTGGTCAATCTGCGTCGATCCAATTAAATCGCATCGATTACCTTTGCAGCCGTATATCGAAGAAATTTTTAATCACTTAAGGGGAGAGCCGTTCAAGAAGTTTTTGGAGAGGTATGTTGTCGCGCGATGCGAACGATATAAGAACAAATAAAAAAAAAACGAAGAATAAAAAAAAAACAGAATCCCGAATTCCGAGACAATTTTCTAAGAAATATCGTTGTATGTTTTCAGCGAAAAGTACACACGTTTCTGCCAATGGAAGAATTTAGAATTAAATATGCAGGTAAATTGATGAACCTTCTCCGTCGTAGTATGTTTTGTTTTCGCACGCTATAGTGGACGCAGATTCGCACGATCCTTGGCGATCGCATACGTATCTGATACGAAACAATGTCGGAAACTTCTTCCTTCATAACACGGCCACGTAATTATAAGGCAGAAAGCATGAGCCTGAAAATTCTGAGAACAAAGACAAAAAGATGACCTGCGAAGTAGCTCAAGGGAAACTCAATTAACCTGTGCGCTGAGCAACCATTGTTTTTAGACACTTCATTTGCCTCCACTATAATGGGCTCAAACGCTATGCGTATTAAATTGCATGTTTAATCAACCCGAATGGCTTTGTTGCTTTTTATTTTTGAACGCGTCGATGAAAATACGATTTAGCAACACAAGTGGGGAAACTATTTAATATACGGCTCTTGCATGAAATTCATTTTTAGCCACGATGTTGCAAAAATATCTTGTTCCGTTGTTTTTCCTTCAATATCGCACAGATTGTGCATCACGACTTTCAACTTTTAGCCCGCACATCGGAGAATATTCAATCTCTTTAAACTCGTTCATGTTACTTGTTATTGCATACAATTCTTCATACCTATGCGAACAAATTTAAAATTTAAATGAACAAGAGAATTTGCATTCTTTTTTTTTATTGTTGCTCAATTGTATCTGTTGGATTGTTGGAGAAGTATTAAATCTTCTCATTTACTAAAAATCAGAAGCTCTAATTTAAATCTGTGCAACGAGAGAACTGAATAAAAGATTGTGATTTTTATGTGCGTTTTTTTGCTATCTTTTGGTTAGCGTAATTATTACGATCGTTATCGTAATTGCGATTGTAAAACCTAACAAGATTTAGAATAGTTCAAACAACTCTACACTACGAAGTTACCAAATTTTTACCAAATTTGAAGAGTTCTTGATGGTATAATGACAAAACGACATTTGATAAATTTTTACATCATTTTTCATTTTATTATGTTGATATTTATATTCTTATAATTTATATTCATTGTTAACGAAGAATCTTTGCTCGTGAAGAAGAGAATTATAAGATTGATTACTTGCATTATATATATATATAAACAATTTTAAGTTTGTATACACATTCTCCGATACTAAAGCTTTCAAACTCGTTTTACCATTCTCTCTGCTAATTTTGACTGAACCAAGTTGTACGAGGGAAATTCGAAAAGTTTCCGGAAAGTTTGTTGTTTGTAAACAGAACGCTATATTTATAATTAAATTGATGCGAGCCCGAACTTGTCGAGACTCGTTTAAATAATAATAAATCGCTTTATTAAATCTGTTCAGGTGAATTGTTTTATTAACGACTGGATGTTTAGCAGGCGTTTAATTCCGTAAAGAAATGATGATGTGAACATATGTGAAAGTAGTAAAAGAAATATACACTTTATAATTAAAAATCGAGAGGTGCTATGAGTTTATGGAGCTGAGAATTGTGCGTCGCAACAGCAGTGATTTACGATAACTGTGTGATTATTTAATCAAAAGGTATGTATTAATTTTATAATAATGTACATGATGTTGCTATCTGGTACACAGGATCTAATCAGAAATAGAATGTTCAGAATTATTGTATACTTCATATTAATTTTCATATGTTTCAGGAATATTCTGTGTTCTTGTAATTCTGGATACGAACTGTCATCGAAAAGTAAAACTATCACACAAGGTAGCGGAAGGAAGAAGAGGAAAGAACTTGTCTAACTAATTTTACCTATTCCTAAAAGCTTGTGAAATCATATATTTTGAAGTAATAAAATAGAAACTTTGTGGTGAAATAGTTATAAAAAAAGTAACACAATAAGAATAAGATCCTCAGTCGTCTGTATCATAAATACATAAAAACCCGAAGTCTACTGATTTATAAGACATTTTATATTACACCACCTAAACCGTTGTTCATCTTTACAACCTACTGACTATTTTCTCATTGCACCCGTTAATTTAATTTTAAATCATAAAATATTAAAAACTTTGCGGTGAAATAATTAAAAAAAAGGTATCACAATAAAAGTAAGACTCTCCACAACGTTAGTCCATAATTTTTGTTTCGTAAAGACTTTTACACGAACAGAAAATCTGGAACTTGTGGATTTTAGTTTCTCAGCTGTTCCTCTCTTCGACTATTTCATGCTAGTTAGCATAACTGAATTTTGAGAAGTCTCGTGCAAGGGAGCAAACGAAAGGGGTCTTCTGATAGAGTTCCAGTTACGAAAATTCAATGTGACCTTTTTTACAATAAACTCACATAATTATCACTTCATATCTCCTTTGTGCATATATCATACAACAATTATCTGGGACATTTCTTTGTATCTATAATACTCAAGGAAATAATTGTGTGCATACTAATTACAAGTACATGAACTTTATAAGTACATGATGTTGTAAATTATGGGAGCAAAGTCATAGCGCATATCGAGGTCGAAGAGTCTCTCGTCAATTTGCAAATTGAGCCTTCATAAAATTTCGGAGTAGGAATCGATATTTTTGTGACACATTGTATTGTAGCTAACGTTGCAGAGTCCTTTGGGCCTTTCCCGAGATGTTACTAATAAATTGTGTGCGAAGTCGGTTAAACTAGTCGAAACGAGATCTCACTGATAATTGCAATATCAATTGGCCCGACGTTTGGAGCCGTTAATTACTACAGGAGTAACGAATCTACCTATTTTAGGGTCACTAAGATATACAAAGACCAACCCAGCAACCTTCCTGCTGTGTACATCGTGTAATTCGTATGCCGATGGCATGTCACCTTAATATCTCGGGAATGGCTCGTGTAAATAACACAAGTAAGTAGTGTTTTGAAAACGTTTCGATGTCAGCTACACAAAACACGCACTAAAAACTTGGTTCACGTTTGAAATTTGAACTACGAGCTCCCCGAGCGTTCCCAGGGTTGATTAAAACGCGACCATGATACCATATTTTTTTCACATATCCCCACGTATTTGCTTGGGGAAATTCAAATAGGACATCTTGTATGCACATCAACTCTGCGATACGTTTCCGTTGTTTAACAAAACTTTGTCATCCGTTTAAAAATACGTTCTCTATACTTTTAATTAATACATTTTTTTGTTGAGTCAGAACACAAAATTCATTTGGTAATAATAACGACAACAAATAAATCGTACGTTCGGCTATGAAGAGAGAGGATATATCGTTAACAATGCCACATTTAAATGAAATTAGTATATACTTTGCTAAGTGTGTGTGTGTGTGTGTGTGTGTGTGTGTGTGTGTGTGTGTGTGTGTGTGTGTGTGTGTGTGTGTGTGTGTACACAT